CTGGGGATTCGAACCCGCCACCTTAGGTGTATGTGGCTGGCACCTTAGCCACTTGAGCCACAGGCGCCGAGCCTCCCTTCTAGTTTTTAATGTCCTATGGCATTAGGGAAACACTGTAGCAGAAAGAATTCAGAGGGACCCTTATTCAAATTTCTAGTTCTGTCTTCTGCTGATTATGTGGTCCTTGAGAAGTTATTTAATGCTTGTTTAGTTTTACTTTCCTCATCTGTAAAATGGAACAAGTAACCATTAAGTACGTCTGGAGCTTATTTTGAAGGTTAAATGAATTTAAATGAATGTAAAATACCTACCACAGTGCCTGGGCTCAAGGTTAGAACATTATAAATGACAATCCTGCTTTTACCTCTAAAGATTAAAATAAGATATATTTCAAAATTTTTACAGAAAAGTTAAGAGGGAGACCGTGACAATGTCAGATGTACATCAGTGAAGTCACTTTAGGGTTACATATTCCTTATTTTGTCAAAGGTGCTCAACATAAAGACAAAATCTCCTTCTGTTGACCCTTAATTCTCGAAAATCTCCAAAAATAAAAAATATATATATAAAGATGTAAAATCCAAATCACAATATTGCCAAAAGCTTAAGCAGAGAATAAGTTCATCTCTCAGCCACCTCTGTACTCTCCACAAGTAAGTGTATTAGCAGCCCCCATCCTTACTAATTGGTCCAACTGCGCTTTCGTGGCACTTTTGTGCATTATTCATACAATAAACACAGGTAACCATTTCACTTGTGCAATAGGCTTTTGAATTGTAAAAATTTAAGGAATTTTAATGAAACAGACTTTGTTAACATTATTTTAAGAAATTATATTAAGGTAAACAAAAATTGACTTACTCTTCAGTAGGCAGGCCAATTAACAATAACTTGTCAGATTCCTTCCAATAAGCCACATGAACTTGTTTCCCATTTAAAAGGAGAGATGAACTAAGAAAAAAATATATTCAAAATAAGGTTAAAATATTTTTAAATGTCATAAAATTATAAAAATCATTCATAAAAGATTACATGTAGTATGATTAAGAAGTTAATACCCAATAACCAAATTTCTTTTCAGATACCTAACTGCGACACAGAAAAAGGCAAGGAATTGTATGATAATTAAAATATAGTATAAATTTAAAAAAAAAAAAACAAGTAATCAATAGCCAGGTGTTGTAGCGGGTGCCTGTAGTCCCAGCTACTTGGGAGACTGAAGCAAGAGAATTGCCTAAGCCCAAGGAGTTGGAGGTTGCCGTGAGCTGTGACACCATTGTACTCTACTGGGTGTTAATAAGTGAAACTCTGTCCCAACAGCAACAACAAAAAACCCCAAATAATCCAAGAAATCCAGCCAAACAAAGATAGGCCCATTACAGAAAATACATGTAGACTAATCACAGTGGCTCATACTTGTAATCTCAGCACTTGGGGAGGCTGAGGCAGGAGGAGTGCTTGAGGCCCAAGAGTTTAAGACCAACATGGGCAACATAGCAACACCTGTCTCTATAAAAAATGAAAAAAATGAGTCAAGTATGGTGGTGTGTACCTGTAGTCCTAGCTACTCAAGAGGCAGAGGTGGGAGAGGATCATTTGAGCCTAGGAGTTTGAGGTAATAGTGATCTATGATTGTGCCACTGCACTTCCAGCCTGGGTGAACACTAACCTGACACTGTCTCTAAAAAGAAAAAAAAAATGTTGAAAGTCTTGGCCTGGCATAGTGGCTCATGTCTGTAATTCTATCCTAGTACTTACTCTGGGGCTGAGGCAGGAAGATCATATGAGCTGAGGAGTTCAAGACCAACCTGAACAAGAGGGAGAACCTGTCTCTATTAAAAACAGAAAAATTAGCTGGATGTTATGGTAGGTTCCTATAAGTCCCAGCTACTTGAGAGAGGCAGGAAGATCACTTGATTCCAGATCCGTAAGGTTGCTATAAGCTAGGCTATGGCCATGGCACTCTAATCTGGGGCAAGAGAGTGAGACTTTGTCTCAAAAACAAACAAACAAAAATGTCTTTTGCTAACAGTAAGTTTAATGACTATATATAATTTCTTTCTTTCTTTCTTTTCTTTTTTTTTTTTTTTTACAGTTTTTGGCCAGGGCTGGGTTTGAACCTTCCACGTCTGGTATATAGGGCCCGTGCCCTATTCCTTTGAGTCACAGGCACCACCCTTATAATTTCTATTTTAAAACAAAGCTTCCATCCCAGTCAGTTGGTTGGTTTATTTATTTATTTGAGACAGAGTCTCTCTTTGTCGCCCTAGGTAGAATGCTATGGTGTCACAGCTCATAGCAATCTCAAACGCTTGGGCATAAGCGATCCTCTTGCCTCAGCCTCCTAAGTAGCTGGGACTATAAGTGCCCCTCACAATACCTGGCTATGTCTAGAAATGGGGTCTTGGTCTTGCTTAGGCTGGTCTTGAACTCCTGAGTTCAGGCAATCCACCTGCCTCAGCCTTCCAGATTGACTTTTAGGGTTATAGGCGTGAACCATCGTGCCCAGCCCAGGTGGTTAATTTAACAAATATTTTGTGATTGCCTACCTATGAACATGATTTGCTAAACAAGTTACAAAGAAAGGACAATGTGGTTTCAGCTCTGAAGATGGCAATTCAATGCAGGACACAATATATAAATAAGTAACTAAAACATAAGTCAGATTTAAATGTGTTCTCAACCTTTTGGGGGTGCTGAATAATTGTGACAATGGTTTTAGGGTATATTCCTATGTGAAAACTGATCAAATTGTACATTTTACATATGTACAGTTTATTGAATTTCAATTATATTTCAGTGAAGTTGAAAAAAATTAAATATATTCCAATAAGAGATATAATAGTGAACTACAGAAATAAAAAGAATGTTAAGTATGTGGTATTTAAAATATAAATTATTACAGATTTTTTCAAAAAGAACATACTTTTGTCTAAGTTTAAAAATCATATACTTTTAGACAAATGCTATACTTTTTAATAGTATGTTATAGTACTATAATTTAAAAGGTATGTATGTAACAAAGAATGCATACATTGCTAATGAACTCCTAAAATAATAATTTTCAGATTTATAGTTCCTCAAAAAAGTTTCTCTAATGGTATTACTGCCTCCCCTATGTTCAATCCATGTATTATCATGAATAACAAGATCTAAATATTAAGTAAAATAATATTTATCCTTTACAGTAACAAAAAGGTAAAAAAAGCAAAATCCATATTTGAAGAGAAAACATTTTTTTCTCTAATAAGATTAAAAATGAGGCATGCACCATGAAAACATTATGCTAAATGAAAGAAGCTAGTGACAGAAAGCTACAAATTATATGATTCTATTTATATGAAATGTCCCGAATAGGGAAATCTATAGGGATGGAAAGTAGATGTGTAGTTGCCTAGGGCTTGGGCTGATTGACAACTAAAGGGTATAGGATTTCTTTTTGAGGGGAGGAAATTGTTTTAAAATTGACTTTGATGATGGTTGCACGTATCTGTGTATATACTAAAAACTACCTGTATAGTTTAAACGAGTATTAAAGTATAAAGTATTACCTGTATACTTTAAATGAACAAATTTGTGTTTGTATTGTTTATGAACTATATTTTAGTAAAGCTGTTAAAAAATGAAAAGAGGCTTACAACATGCGTTTATGAATGTAAACTTACACACTACTATGTAAAGGGAGTCTTGGTTACTCTTGCCTTGAAAATGAATATTTCTATATATACTATATTAATAGTCACAGAGTTAAACATGAATTTTATCTGGTTAATTAAAGAAATTCTTCTGTTGTCTTGCAGATCCTACCTATTTTAAAATTACAGAAGTGCCATTCTTATCGAAAATGGGGGAAAGAAAAAGTTAAAACTTAAATACTCAACTTGATATTTATCAGTATGATGCCAGCACTTAAAATTTGAGATAAAATTTCTTTGGAAACTCTAAAATTGGTGAAATATTAAGAAAGGAATTTGGATATTACTCTTAGATTTATTTTATGAAAAAACAAAAGCAAAAACAAATTAAAAGCTTTCAGCTCCTTCCTCCCCTAAGTTAACTTCCACATCTCAAAGTCAAGGTGGGTAAATCAGCATGGAATGGATATTTGACTTCATAATTGAAAAGAACTTAAAAGGAACAGAGTTAAAGCAAAACAAAAGTTATTACCTAGTAACTTGTGTCCCAGTTACATTTTCCAGCATGTCACAAAGTGTGAGAAAAATCCCTCTCACACTTTTAAGTTTTTGAGAAGCTTCAGACTTTGGATAATGATAAAGAATTTCCTGCTGTCAAATGAAAGGAAACAGAAATGATCCAACTGCCCAAATTTTTCACCCATTATTTTTGTCATGAAAAGTTCAAACTTTGTACTGAGAAAAAAACAACAAGATAAAGTGAATCCTTTCAGCTTTAGGAATTTTATTCAAACACAAAGAGAGAACTAAGCCTGGAATTTTAACATATTAACTAGCATTTCAAATAGTACACTTGAAAATAAGTTAGAGCCTGCCAATTTTGGCCACGATACCAATAATATACTGAGTAGGATACTGTTCAATTACAATTAATTTCAATCACTGTTTTAAACTTCAATAATTTTAATAGTAATATTTTATTATCTTTAATTGTATTCTAGAGATACCAGTATGTCCTGTAGTTACATACCTACCCAGATACCACAAGTTAACTTTTAGAAGTCCTAAATTCAATTACTTTCATGTTGACTTTTAAAAGATAATCTTCATTGTCTTTGGTGAAATCATTAAATGTTTATTTAAACTCAAGACAAGGCTGCAATTAAATGTGCAAAGTGAGAATACAAAATTAAATTAAGGTAGTATAGATAGGAAGAAAAAAAGTATCATGATACTATAGAATCTTCTCTGCCTTAAATTTGAAAGGGCCTGCATACCATAAAAAATCTGAATTTATACTTTGAAAGAAAACACATTATATTTTAAATTATGGAAAATACTAGATCTATAACATAATTCACCCAATGCTTAACATTTTTCTACTTTCAAGAAGAGCACATTCGTAGGAAACAGTTTTCACAAAATAAAATAACATTTCAAAATCAGAATGTGCACTAATACTTTTACACATAGAGAGAAGCCATTCTATACTGTACTCTTTTGCTATTGCTTAAAGGAACATCTATTTTTCTCACAAGGCAAATTAAAAGCAGGCTAAATAACAATGTCAAGATAGAAACCATGAAGCACTCAGAGTAGCTTCCAGTTATACTGTTTAATGACTATATTCATAAATACTAATTTAGAGCTTCAATTCAAAGTCCTAACTCCTTAAATATTATGTCTTTTCTTTGGCTCTAAAAACTCAAACTTTCTTGCAATATTTCAAGTGTAACAACAGTTTCAAAACATTATTTTATCTTTAGAGATTGAGTCAAACATCAGCTAAGATCTTCTATTATTTCTACTTAGTAAATTTAAATCTTGGCCAATAAATAATTATATTATATTTAGCCAAAATACCGAACACTACCTTAAACAAATAATTAATACTATTTGATTTTTTTTTAAGTCTCCCAGCTTATGGCCCTTACATTTTCAAATCTTGTAACTTGAAGACAAGTTTTCATTAAATATATGTAACTCATAGAAAACAAAATGACCTTATGACATTTTAAGTCATGCCAGTAAAAAAAAACAGAAACAGACAATTGAGAAAGTCTCTATTGCAGCTATTAAAGCCTCATGATTAAAGACCTGGCAAACTCTATGGTCCATGACCAGTTTAATTAGCTGTATTTTAAAGCACTTATTAGTAGCATGCATTTGCAACAGCTTCTACTCTGTACAATAAGAATAAAAAGCCTCTCCTAATTACACTTTGATACAGGGTTGGCAACAGACAGAAACCTGTTCATTTGAGAAACATCTACACACTTTCCCATGGAAACAAAGGCAAAGATGACCAAAGGTCATCTGCTCTAAAATGACCTAGAAAGATTCAGGATGTTACATAACACATAATGAAAAATTGTTTTTTGTTATACATCATAAATGTTTAAGCATTTTACTTGCTTTAAAAATATAAGGGGCCAGTAACATACACAAAAATTGGAATTATTAACTCTAGGTCTATATGCAATTTCCTGAACACAGAAAATAACAAAATTATGTATGAGTAAATCCTTGCTTTTAATAGTTTACTAAATTTTGATATAAAGCAACACCAAGAAATGTATTTCTTTGCTAAAATAACTTTAGCCTTGAGAATACAGTCTGAAAAGATTTGAAAAACAAAGGAGTGTGGATTAGTTACATAAGCTTTCAGATCTCACTTCTGCTGAAAGCACTATGGTAGACTAGCTGCTTTGAGAAAATGGCCATGGCCAACATACTTGTTCAATAGCTGGCACATAAGCAGAGAGGTTTCCAAGGGCAGTCTCCTTTCAACCTCCTTTCTCACTGCTTCAAAACAAGCTGGGGCCTGAGCTGAGAGTGGTGAGTGGAAAAGAAGAACAGAGGCAGCTCTGTCCTGCCTACAACAGTCTCAGTCAGGACACTGAGCACTGGGCTACTACTAAAAGGTTTATGAGCTGAACCCAAAACCACCATGTTAAGCTTGGACCCCCAAGTAAGGCCCCGGGTCAGTTAGTGGCAGAAGCAGAAGAAGAAAAATCTCTTTGGAAGAAAGTATTCTCCAAAATAAAGTCAAACAACAAATTTGGTCAAAGATCCTTAAGCAGATGAGAAGGCCGGCCACAACATATGACGAGAGATAAAAGAATGGGCAAATATAGAACAGAGAAAAGGTATATATGAAACACTTAGAGAGATTAAGTATAGAATCACAATAAGCAAGCAAAAAGAGGCCACCAGATTATCATGGCAGATTTGAAAAGTAGATTAGTTAAACACTTTTCAGGAATTTCTAAAAATAAAAGTATAATTGTTTAGGGGAGTAAGTGGAATAAGATAGCCAAAAAGAATCTTCTAGCACTCATCACTCTGTGGAAACACCAAATTGAACATCTATCCATGTTAAGAAAGCATCTTAGTAAGAACCAAAAAAGCACATGAGTGATCACAGTACCTGGTTTTAACATAATAAAGAAACAAGCATTGAACGGGTAGGGAAGTCTTACATTGCCTACAGCACCTTTCTCCAACCCCAGGAAGTCCGGCATAAAGAGAGAATCTGTGTGCTTAGGTAAGGAAAGCAAAGCAAGTATGGGATTTTGCAATGGAACTCAGTGCTACCCTGTCCCAATAGGACACAACACAGGGCAGAATTCTACCACTACTCCTAAAGGCTGCATTTCGACCAGCCCAGCCTGAGGGGAATGCTTAAACTCAACAGGAGGAACCCAAGTCCTAGCTGCATCCACCACCAGCTGACTAAAGTGGCCTGGGGCCTTGGCAGTCAAACTACAAGGACTGCAGTCCTTGGGCAAGCCCTGGTGCTGGCCTGGTTTCAGAGGCAGTAGATTTGGGGTATAGCTCAGTGTGAGATCAGCAGCTGTGGTGGCCCAAGGAGTATTCACATCTCTACTCCAAGTCCAGGCAATACAGCCTAGGGAAACACTCCTTCTGTCTGGTGGAAGGCGAGGGATGAGTACAGAGGACTTTGCTTGCATCCTGGGTACCAGCTCAGCCACACTGAAATAAATCATCAGGCAGATTCCCAAATCCTCTGATTCTAGGCCTTTGCTGCTAGATGGCATTTCTGGACTCACCCTGAGCCAGATAAGAATTTGCTGCTATGGCAAATGATTCATTATCTGCTAACTAAAGTGGCCTTGGTCCTTGAATAAACATCAGTAGCAGATAGAAGTGGCCATGGACCTTGGGTGAGCTCCAATACTGAGCTGGTCTAGAAGGCTGTGGGTTTCAGGTATAATCCAGTGTGGTGCCAGATGTCTTGGCTAGCAGAATGTCCATAACACCCTTTTTCTAACTTTAGGAAGCCAAGTGTGGAGACTCTTTCTGATTGGGAGAAAGAGAAGGGAAGAAAGCAAGACGCCTGGTAACTTAGGGAATTTTTCCTGCTCTTCCCAGAATCTACAAAGACTGTGTATCTAGGAGTCTGCAAAGGTTGCTGTGTTTGTGGGCTTAGCATGCCTCCTAGTGCTGAAATAACTGCAGTGATCCCAGGCTTAGTCATAATATTTAATCCCTTTTGAATTCTTGGAAAGCTCTCTCAAGAAGGATGGGTACAACCAAGCTTAGAGTATGAAGACTGAAATAAATATGTAATTACTCAATGCCCAGTCATCAATGAACATAAACAATCTTCAAGAACATCCAGGAAAACATGATCTCACCATATGACTAAGGCACCATGACCATTCCTGGAGTGACAGAAATATGTGACCTCTAAAGACAGAGAATTCAAAATAGCTGTCTTGAGAAATCCCAGTAAATATCAAGAATACACAGAGAAGAAATTCAGAATTCTATCAAAGAAATTCAATAAAGAGAATGAAATAATAAAAAAAAAAATCAAGTAGTGATTCTGGAGCTCAAACATTCAACTAACAAACTGAAAAATGCATCAGAATCTCTCCCCAGCAAAACTGATCAAGCAGAATAAAGAATTAGTGAGCTCAAAGAAAAGCTATATGAACATACACAGAGGAAAAAAAAAAAAAGAATAGAAAGACTGAAGCACACCTACAAGACCTAGAAAATCACCTAAAAAGAGCAAATGTAAGTTAGTGGCCTTAAAGAGGATATAGAAAGAGATGTCAGGGTAGCAAGTTTATTCAAAGAAATAATAATAGAAAACTTTCCACACCTAGAGAAAGAGATGACTATGTAGGTAAAAGAAGGTCAAAGACCACCAAGCAGATTTAAACCAAATAAAATTACCTCAAGGCATGTAGCAATCAAACTCTTACAGGTCAAGAACAAAGAAAGGATCTTAAAAGCAGCAAAAGAAAAGAAGCAAAGTAACATACAAAAGAGCTCTAATACTTCAGACTTCTCAGCAGAAACTTTCCCCCTTCCCCCAACTTAATTTGAAATGAGTTTTTCTCCTTATGTGGGTATAAATTAGATTGTCTACTAGCTTCATGTTAGTAATGAGCATATTGGATCTTTGTTTTTCCATTCTTGTTATACTTTACTGAGAAGAATGTGTCTCAACTCCATCCAGGTTAATATAAAAGATGTAAAGTCACCATCTTTTTTATGGTTGAATAGTATTCCATGGCATACATATTCATTCCACAGTTTGTTAATCCATTCCTGAGCTGATAGGCATTTGTTTCCTAAATGGTAGGAATTCTGTCTGACCTGTGTTATGTCCTATTTACAGTCTTGGAAATTAAGCTGCAGTAAACAATCTAGTGCATATGGTCTTATCATAAAATGATTTTTTCTTCTGGGTAGATGCCCAGTAGAGAGATTACAGGCTCAAATGAGAGATCTAATTTTAGTTCATTGAGGATTCTCCACACTTCTTTCCAAAGAGGCTATATTAGTTTGTAGTTTCACCCCATATAGCCTAGGCAATTCTTAGTAATAAAACTAAAGCTGGAGCATCACTCTACCAAACTTCAGTCTATATTACAAGTCCACAGTACTCAAAACAGCATGGTATTGGCATAAAAACAGAGACACAGACATTTGGAACAGAATAGAAAACCAAGAGATAAAACCAATCTCTTATACCCATCTGATCTTTGAAAAGAATCCCTATTCAATTAATGGTGCTAGAAGAACTGGATAACCACATATAAATGACTGAAACTGGACCCATACCTTTCACCACTTACAAAAATTGATTCAAGATAGATAAAAGATTTAAATCAAATAGAATTTTTAAAGAAGATAAGAGAAACAAATTTAAATATATCAGTAATCTCTATAAATGGACTCACTAAATTTGTCAGTCAGAAGTTAGAGACTGCTAGATGGGAAATATACTGTATGAAAGAGGTATATGAAAAACATAGAACAAAGTGAGAAAAAGAAATAAAAACACCCATTCAAATACTTACACAATAAAGTTCTACTAATATTAAATATTAAAAAAATTATTTTTAAATGTTAATCTTAAAGGAAGACTTTAAAACAAAACATTATTAGGGTAGAAAGTATTACATTATAATCTAAAAGATTCCATTATCCAAGAAGATTTAATAATTTTAAACCTTAATGCATCTAATAGAATTGTATTGAAATATATAAAGCAAAAAGATGTAGAATCAGAGGGGAAAATGGAAAAATTCTCATCCAAGTGGGAGATATCCACACTTCAATTAATTATAAATAGACTTAGCAGACAAGAAATTGGTAAAAGATAAAGACAATTTGAACAAAACAATTAATGCCAACAAAACATCTATGCTGAGAAGTAACCTGATGTAGAAAAGACACAGAATTTAGAAAGGAAACCACCTTCATTTAAGTAGAAATTAATGTCAGCTACTAGCTATGTGAACTTGAGCATTTTTTTTTTTTATCTTTACTAGTATCATTTTCTTACCTGCAAATAAAAATACCCAATATCTGATCCTATGCCAGGCATAAAAGAGGAGTTCAATATACATTGAAAAAAATCAATGAATAGCAAAAGAATATGTAAAAAGTAAAAACTATTTACAATCTATGAAAGAAAGTTAATACTACATCCCCTTGAATTAAAAGCTAGCAAAAGGATACTAATTATAACAGGGAACAAAAGAACACTTTTGGGGTGATGAAAATGTTCCACATCGTGATTGTGATAATAGTTACACAACTGTGTATATTTGTCAAAACTCATCAAATTGTACATTTCAAACTGCTGAGTTTATTATACATAATGAAAACTCAATAAAGCCTACTAAAACAAAACAGCTAACAGGACCTTAGCTTCCAAATTAGAAGACATTCCAATAATGCCTTCCTCTCCCTTTACCTTTTCCTACTGCTTAAGATAAGTGAATAATTCAACTGCTTTTATTTTTAAGACATTTGCAGTATGAAATATTCATATCCATGACAGAGTATACAATATACAAAGATTTTTAAAGAATAACAATAAAACAATTCATTCACTTTTGTTTCTTAAGTCAAAAATGCTCACTACTCCATAAGAAGACTATACAAGCTCCTTACTTTTTTCTCTGCACTTTGGAGAAGACACTTACCTCTTCTTTCAATGTTTCTGAGTCAAGTTGTAGTGTAAGATACATAATAATATGAGGAGTGTCTAGGATGTTCTGCTGGACACCTTCATCCTCTTCTCCCCATAGAAGTTTGACTAAATCACTTGTGTTTGATGGTGCCTTTTTCTCTCTTGGTTGGGTTGTCTCCTTTTTCACAGCATATGCATTTTCAAATGTCAGTTTTACCTTTAAAAATTAAAACAATGTGTTAATTTTTCAACAAGGGAAAATCAGCTGCAATGTTCAAAAAGAGATGTGTGCATGCACATGCACCCAGGTATGGACAGTATATTTAAGTCATCCTAGAGCAAGGGCTCCTCATTACAGGCTGCGTACTCTTTATATAATTGTATCTCTAGCTCTTAGAAGAGTATCTGACACATATCAGTACAAATATTTATTGAGTAAGAATGCATAACGCAAGTACAAAAATTCACTTATTTAAACGTAATCATAGCATCCTGAATTACTGACTGCAAAAACAAGAAATGTCATTTAAAAAAAAAGAAATTACTATGATGTGAGAGTGTAAGTAGAGAGCAACACTACATTATAAATACTGATAGCACTAACTCATCCAAGGAAGATAAATGGAAGAGGTTCAGCATTAAGAGTGACCTCACATAATCAGAGTTAGCTCTCATTCCAAATAGGGTGATATTTAAGATATTCTTCTCTGAGACATTCTTTCTGGCTCTTTTAAACGAAGGGCAAGGACAGCAAAAAACTATCGACATACTGGATCTTGGATCGTGACTCTAAGAAGATTATCTGTTAGTTCTATCAAGGTAGTTTTAATTTCACAGCCTGATCTCAAGACTGGTAAGAGTCTAGAATGTGGCCATTTTCCAGTTATTGAAAGGTAGCTTCTACTTCTCAATTACCTTTCCTTGAAAAAGGAGCTATTCATCTAGATACCAGCTGGCCGAAGACAACTCCCTCATTTAGAAGAAGCACTAGTGTACCTCTTGACTATAAGACATTTCACTACACATGCACATATAATGTAGTGAGGAGGTTCAGGATAAGCTATATATATATGTACAAAGTATGAGTAAAATAGAAATTCTAATGGTAATAATCTATAAAGTTTTACATTCAAACATTAAAGCCCAATTCTTCTACAATAAGATTACATTTTTTTTTTTTTTTTTTTTATTGAATGGTAACTATGTACATTAATGCACTTCTAGGGTACAGTGTGGGGTTTTCACATGCAATCTGAAATACTTTCATCAAACTGGTCAACACAGCCTTCATGTCATTTTCTCAGTTATTGTTTTAAAACATTCACATTCTACTCTTAGAAAGATTCACTTGTACCCCAAGATTACATTTTAAAAGTTAAAAAAATAAATTCATGGCTTAGTGTCCGTAGCACAGTGGTTATGGAGGCAGCCACATATACCGAGGCTGGTGGGTTCAGATCCAGAATGGGCCAGCTAAACAACAATGACAACTTCAACAAAAAATAGCTGGGCGTCACGGTGGGCACCTGTAGTCCCAGCTACTCAGGAGGTTGAAGCAAGAGAACTGCTTAAGCCCAAGAGTTTGCAGTTGCTGTGAGCTGTGATGCCACAACATTCTATGGAGGGTGACACAGTGAGACTCTTGTCTCCAAAAAAATATACATAATAAATAAAAAATAAATTCATGCTTGACCATGAATAAAGAAACAGCCAATATTTAAAAGTAGGTAAAACTGTTTGTATGTAGAAAGTTACATTTTGGCAGAAAATATTTTTAAATTATCAAGATCCATAATAAACAATCCCCATTTTTAATAATTTATTAAGAAACATCATTTTCAAGACAAATTTAAAAACATGACAAATCTAACACATTACAGTCACTTTTTACAAATGAGCTTTATATATCCATATATTTTCATTAAAAATGTTAAGTAGGGGCGGTGCCTGTGGCTCAGTGAGTAGGGTGCCAGTCCCATACACTGAGGATGGCAGGTTAAAACTCAGCCCTGGCCAAACTGCAAAAAAGAAAAAAAAAAAAAAATAGCTGGGCGTTGTGGTAGGCACCTGTTAGTCTCAGCTATTTGGGAGGCTGAGGAAAGAGAATTGCCTAAGCCCAAGAGCTGGAGGTTGCTGTGAGCTGTGATGTCACAGCACTCTACTGAGGGCAACAAAATGAGACTCTGTCTCTAAAAAATAAATAAGTAAATAAATAAATGTTAAGTATATTAAAAAAAAGATCACTCATGGCCCCAGCTACTTATCCAACTGCTATTAGTATTACAATGTAAAATAAATCTATCTTGATGAAGAAAATTTCCCAAAAGAAAAAAATCTAGGTCTCTCTTTTTTGTTGACAAGGAGCAACTGTGGTTGTATTTTATTTTGCTTACCTGTAGCTGACTGAGGCATTTCAGGGGCATACATTAATTTTGTCTACTTAAAGTGAATTAAGTTAAATGTACATCTTTTCTAACTCTGAGATTTTATTGTATGAACAGGTAGAAAAGAAAATAGAGACAGGGTCTCAATTCATCTATATGTATATATTCAGGATAAAGATGAAATAGGCCAAGGCTGGGGGTAATCTGTATAAAGAATTGGAAGGAAGAAGGTCTTTGTGACATTTTTCTGGAACCTGATGATCATGTCTTTTTATAAAACATTTAATATAATTTCAAATTGAAAAGATAAATATTTTCTGAGTTTTTTATGTTTTCTAGAAACCTGACGTTGGAAAAGGGCTGAGCATAAAATTCATATACTTGGGGGGGAAATATTAAGCAAACTAAACAAAAACATAAAAAATTACAGACACTATGTGAGAACAATCAATCTGATGAAAACCAATGTGAGGTTAAGGTAAGAAAGAGCTGAAGAGACACCATTTTAGAAGTGATCATCTTGGAAGGCATGGAAAAGAATATTTGGTGTTGAGTTTTGACGTCAGGCAAGCTCCATGTACTCATGATGCGGCCTGAAAGACTAAGTTCTGAGAGTGGCATCTATTCCAGTAGGGATGGCTCAATATATGTAAACATAAAAATAAACACAACTTTGGTGTGAGTTTTTGACCCAAGCTCCACATAATCATTATGTGACCTATAAGACTGTTCTGTGGGTGACATGTATTCCAGTGGGGATGGCTCAACCTATGTATACATAAATATAAACACAACTATAAATATAATAAGTATAAAATATATAATTCTTCAGTAGGGTCTGATGAATGGCTTTGTAGGCAAAGAGGGTCTTTTATCTGGATAAGGATTTGGAAGTATCCAAAAGGAAATACATGCAAAGCCTTTGGTAGTTTCCTAGAAATGTGAGAAATCTTTAGAATTTGGGCAATTCCTGAGTGTGGACATTGTGACAGGATAATGGGAGCTTTAAACATTGTCCTTTGACACTGGGCTTTAGAGAAGAGCTAGGAGTGCAGGTGTGAGTAGAGTGGAGGAGGAGAAATCTGATGGGGGGCGGGGGGAGGCAGGGAGCACAAGATAAGTGAATCTGAGGGAAGCAGGAGTCATGGGCACAGGCTCTGTTGGAGTCTGTGACAGCTGTGCATAACTAGTGGTGACAAGAAGGCCGGCTCCCAGAGAAAGAAACACATCTCAGAACAGGGAGGGCATCTTTTCTAACTGCCATTCTTGTCGGTGGAGAGGTCAAAAGACAGGGTGTGACTCACCAAAAAATGATAAAAGGAAATGAGGCAGCAGACTTAAAAATTCACTAATTTTACTTTAGGCAGCAACAACAATCAAAAATTTAATACTGGTTCATTACACTTGGTGAAAAAGTACATATCTGAAAACTAACTTTTAATGTTATACTTGGCAAACATCATTTTTTTTCTGTGCTGCAAGGACCTTTTCCCCTCACTGTGACAAAAACACACACTCCAGAACCATCCATTAAAATTCTTTAAGGAGTTATTTTAGCCACCATTCTTCTGATTTAAGTAAAGTTGGCTTTACAATACAAAGATAATTAATGGTTTACAAAGACATTTTTAAAAGCTTACATGATAAGGAGCTATAAATGTCAGGAAATCTGGTTGCCTTGATAAAATGAATAAAATTATACAGGATAAGACATAATCAAATTAAGTGTTAAATTTTTTTTTTTTATTTGTTTTAAAGACAGGGTCTCACTCTGTCACTCAGACTGGAGTGCAGCGGTCACATCACAGCTCACTGAAGCCTCAAACTCCTGACCTCAACTGATCCTCCTGCCTCTGCCTCCCCAGTAACAAGGCCTATAGGCATGTGTGGCCTAGCAAACTAAAAAAAAAAAAAATTATAGAGATGGGGTGTCTTGCTATGTTGCCTAGGCTGGTCTTGAGTTCGTGGCCTCAAGTGTTCCTCCCACCTTGGCCTCACAAAGTCCCAGGACTATAGGCAGGAATCACTGTGCCTGGCCAGAGTTAAGTGCTTTTTTTAGTAGCAGGTTGATATATATAAATATTAAAGATGTATGTTTTATAGGAGAAACTTTCATTAAGTAATACCCACTGTAAGTCAGTTTATATGAAGCTTCTCTAAACAGTTTTATATTGTTATTCCACAGACTTTAACCTGTAACGAAATTTATGATTCCTCATTTCCCTCCTCTAATTTGTGCAGTTTGCCCAGCCTTTCCTCCTTCCCTGCCAGTTCAGGAGATGGTATGCCTTTCAGGACATGCCCTCCATAACTCATCACTTCAAAGTCCTTTTGTGTTAATCACCCCTCTTCCTACTTTAGTCTTCAACCTATCCTATTTTAAAAGCACTATCTCTTCAGCCTCTCCCAAACAAATCCTCTCCCTTCCTTTTAGCTACCTTTGTCTTCACAGACCAGGCCAGAAAAATGCCAGAAGCTTAAGCAGCTACAGAAGCTGACCAGTCTCTCACCTCTGCCTCACAGTTCGTGCTATTTCTCTCATAACACTACGCTGCTCTCTGCATGTCTCATCCTTTCCCTTTCACAAACTGACAAAATTCCTTAGTCAAAATTTTATAGGAATTGAGTCTGACTGGCTCAGCAAATGATCTCTTTTCCATTCTTGTTTCTTCTTGGGCAAACTCACTGAGTTACTGAAGACAAAAGCTGGAAGGTTTCCTGGACTTCTCTCTCTCCTGTGGGAAGTACTGTCCTCCTAATTTCCTCTGTATCTTAAATCTAATCTACTCCTTCTCCATTCCCACACTCAGCCTCTTTGTTCAGGCCTTTATCA